ATGTTCAACAGAATCAAATGCACCAGCAAATCTAGAGATCATCTCAGTGAGTTTATTGAATGAGAGTCTTATCTCAGTCTCATCCTCACCAAAAAAATTATTTTATATCTCACATACATTAAAAAAAGTACAGAGACGTTCAAGTCCTGTTAATCCAATGGAAAATCAGATACTAATGTTCTAATTTCCCCCAAAGAATATGCCAGATAAAACTATGAAACCATAAAAATTATGAAAACTTGTGCTCCAAACAAGAGACAAAATTACTACAATAGTTACTTAGGAACGTATACTATTTCAACAACAAGTTGAAATTTAATTATCATAAATGAGAATGTGTGTCTTTGTATAGGTAAAAATGATTTAGGAGTCACCCCCCATTGAAAAGTAGCAAAAATATAGTCAAGAAAAACATCATTTGTTTCTTGAAAAAAAAAAGGTAAGTATCAACGCACTATGTCCAAGTGTCAATAATTGAAAAAAAAGTAAACCGCCAAAATATACGAAAAATTATGAATATCAATTTCATACAATTCAGACAAATGGATAAATCGCAAAATGATTTACTCCAGATAACTCTAGTCAGTAGATTATTGCCATCAGAATGAAAACAAATGATAAAAAGTTCAAGTACAGTCAAAAATTCTAAAAGTAAAGACATTTGGGGAAGGCAAAATAATTTTGAAAGTAAATTTCCTACGTACCAAACATCATGAGAGCTATATCAGTACACCAGAGATCCAACAATTAGGCTATATATGCATACATGAAAAGTCTCAAGAAATCAAAAAACTGCACATGAAGAAATACTTTCAAAAACTAAGAGGCTGGTGATCAAAAATGAAAAGCATATAAGAATATGTAAACTATCAACAACAATAGTCACAACCTCAATCAAAAGTTTGATGATATTCGACAAAATGCTGGAAAACCTAAAGTCCCCAGACTATCACTATTCAACAAAAAATTATCAAAATATCATCGATCTCAAAACTATAATGAGAAAAAAAGTTATAACTGTCCCCAGCAGTAAATAAAAACTATAGTAGTATGTGAGAAAAAAATTCTGGCAATGATCTCGCTGACTACTAAACAAGACAATTTTAAAAGTTAATAGAGCATAGTACGCCTATGAAATAAACAGGTGGAAAAATTTTAATCTTTTGATAAAAATTTTAAACATTAAGCAAAAAGTAAGGATGATTAAAGAATTAGAAATTTGAGTACCAAAAGTAATTAAAAATAGAAATGCTGCCAAAAATTGTAAAGAATTTTGAAAACTATGTTCTGTCTGCCAATCTTCCACTAGCAAACCACTTGTCGACAAAGCCAAACACCAATCGAAGCCTCACGTTGCGGGTGCCAATTTATGTAAGCCTTCCTTTCCGCAAAAAGGCCAGAAAAGGTGGAATACAATGAAGATTCCAACTTTCTGCACAATCACAGAAAGGGGGTTACCATTAGCTTTCGGTAGCTCAGTCGGTGGCATGAAGACATCTACAGGCGTGTAGCTGTGTGTCGACCATGGCATGGCTAGAGGATAGAAGAACAAAGAGAACACAAAAATTTAACAGATTTTATTTAACAAAGAAGCATTTTCATTACATTACAATTTTAAAGAACAAAATAAGTTTTAAATCTTTGGCGCTGCTATAAAACTATACACTTATCTTTCGCTGGTCCATTTTGACTGGACTGAAGCGAGGATGGCCAGGTGCTTGAAGTGGAGGCCCCAGTTATGAGGGGTGACCTCACATTTAGTGGCTTCAAAACCAGTTGTAGGCGAAGTTGAACTTAAAGGTGATGGCGCTGCCAAGGCACTTGCATGGGTGAAGTGATAGGCCAAGCAATGCAAAGTCAAAGACTACATGAGTTGCAAAGGCAAAAGTCAAAGACAAAGGGAAAGGGAAAGGGAAAGGGGGTGGCCCCAATCTGGAAAAGAACCGTGTGCATTAGCAACGTGTCCTAATGGCCAAGGCATTTCCAATCTCAGTCTGCCTCAAAAGAGAACTAACGATTTTCTAGGTTAGAATTACATTACATAGTTTGATAAAATCAAACCGAAAATTGGAAATGCCTTTCATAAAATAAAATCATGAAATAGCAAAAAAAAGCGTAAAACAAGATGGTGGTCATCAAAAATTTCTCCACATGCTTCTGATATAAAAACACAAATATCGAATATTCATAATCAACGTACTCATAATTTCACTGAACTATGATATATACGCAAACAGAGTTAAAATCGATGTGGATCGATTTCTACCTCGATTTGATTAAAGTTATGGCGAATGATCGAAGTAGTCGAAAATGACGTTCGATGGATATTTTAAAATCGTACAAGAAATAAACCACTTACATATCGACTATCTATAAACTACAGGCAGACCCAGCAATAAAACTGTATAGTATTATAAAACTCACCATTTCGTCCTATTCGGACACACATTCTACAAAATTCTAGCACATGGTGCTCTATGACCTCATGCTACAGAGAACAAAATTCTTAGCTCTTGCTAGATCGGCGGCTCAAGTGAAAAAGAAGCGCGAGGAAGATCGCAGATCGCAGATCAGGAACTCCGCATCAAGCGCGCTCCAAGCGGGAATGTTTCCAAGTAAAAAAGCTAGAGATGAAATGATAATCGAGAAGTGATTTAATAAATACGATCGGACGGTGAAACCGTTACACAACAAAAAGCAAATTACCGCACGATACTGCTTTTTCCATCTTGACGAAAATCACGAAACACGTGTTACTCGAATGGCCGCCAAATCCAAACCAACCTATCAATGAGTCTGAAATTTGTTGTGCCATCGTTTGATAGATGGCAGTACACGATGATAACCAACCTTCTTCAGGGACGCCCTCTGCCATCAAACACGGGTACTTATTGAACAAGCCTCGTATAAGCTCCCAACCCCGGTAACCCTACGCACCTATCACATATCATAGGTTGTCTTTAAAGAGAAATATTTTCTAAACGAGACTCCTTCTGCGATCTGGGCTCAGTGCCCGACGTGACGGTCTGCTTGATTATTCTGCTCGTACTGCGGTGTCTGACGATATGGGAACCAGGGACCAGCTAAGGAATGTCTATAGACCAATTGTGTGGGCCTGTTTGACTGACCTGATCGGCTTAGTTTTTAATTGTACATGTTTGTAACTAAGTTTTTTTTTAGTTAACCTACGTGACGCCATTCTTTCTGCAAATAATTCTGCTTCTCTGCTCAAGAGGATTTCTATCAAAATTCTTGTCCCACATGAATCAAAAAGCACATCATTTCAGACCAGTTTGACATATGAACTTAGTATTTTGTTAAAATGGAGTACTGAGATCATTTGTAATGAGGATAGCCAGGACGCATGGATCAACCTTCATATGTGGATGTCATTTGAAGAAGCTTAGTAACATTGAAACCACAGGTTTTTAATTTTTCGATGAGATAACGATACTTTTCATTTAGGTTATGACGGATAGTGAACAAGCTTGGTATAGCGCTCTACAAGGGCGATCGAGCTTTTTGGTGGATAGAACGTACTATCAACTTAGGGATGAGAAAATTTGCACTCATTGCCAAAAGAAGATTTGTTCATTCGAAACAGAGGGTATCCTAAATCTTGCCATGCGGCAGAACTTAGTTACCCTGTGAATTAGAAGATTTGATCAAGGATTATCTGGCCGAAGCCACTGAAAAGACTATCAGTGCGAGATATGCAAGAACATTGGTGCAGTCGTGAACAAGAGATCTGTCGTCATAGACCCAGATACGTTGATTATATGTCTGAAAATGTAAGGATTATACTGCGGATTTTTAAAAGTGTGCAGTCGTCTTATCTTTAGTTCCTCCTATTGAATATATGAACAGCCCGAAAATTTGAGAACCATGCATTATTTCGAAAAAAGAGTCTAGCAAAAGTTTTATGAGATTAAAAAAGGGTTATATCAGTGACCTCTAATATGACCTAAATAATAGGAGGTTAACTTCTCAAATTCAAGTAGCAACCACCCTTGCTGGAAAAAAGACTAGCAGCGATTTCCTCCCTGACCATAGACCTGGAGGTTATCACTGCTTTGGGACGCAACAATCTTATACAGTTTGATGCTTCCAAAACACAGTACTGTACCTTGACGAACAAAAAGCGTGCTAGCGTTCATCCGGTTTCGATGGATGGCCGAGTTCTGCCAAAGAACCGTTCATTTCTGGTCAGAGTCCAGATCTTCGAGGACATGATCTATCTCGAACACATCTCGTCAATAGTGGCAGCTGGTGGGAAAAAGCCAGGTCTAAAAGGTTCTTTTCTCCGGATGACCTCCTCACTCTATACAAGACCCAGGTAAGACCTAGCCTCGAGTACTGCTCACACGATTGAGGTGATGCCGCCTGGACTACATTATCCATGCTCGATGTTATCCAGAGGAGGGCCGTCCGGCTGATCAATTACTGATCTTTAACAGACAGTCTCAGGATCCTTTGGCACCGCCGGGCCGACGGCGATCTAGCTCTCTTCTACCGCTACACCAACTGTCTTTGCTCTCCTCCTTGATGCATGCCACTTAACGTCGTTTTTCACTTGCTTCAGAGACGACTGGATCGAGTTCAATGATGACGAGTAGTATATATATAGGCGTTCTGGACCACCTAAAATAGCATGTGAAATTGTACCGTAAAACTTATAGGCGTTCTCGACCACTACACGTTCTGGACCAAAGTACGTTCTAGACCAGTCACTCTAGACCAAATTACAAAAAAAAAACCCCCCGTCGTTTTTCAACGCCTTTTTGCCACCATCCCCCTTAGTCGCGCGCGCGCGTGCGCATGGGGCTCGTTCTGGCGAGCGTACTACTGGGGGTAGGGTAGGTGAGGGGGTGTAGATAGCAGAGAATAAACGATACGCTGTAAAAGGAGTTTATCTATCTTTATTTGTTTTTCTCACAGTTACACGTTGTTTTGAATTTAATTGTTTTATATAATAATTCCCCTTTGTCATTATAATGTACCTGTATAGTTATGTTTTTTGTTGGTAGGTTTGGTAGGGCTGACGCTTTTTCCCTTTTATTGCAATGGTAACTTTGTTTTTGTTGTATGTTTTTGGTGGTGGTGGTGGTGGTGGTGGTGGTGGTGGTGGATGGTCCGGGTGCCGTTGATGCAGGTGCCTCCGGAGATGGAGTAGATTCTATTGATTCGGAGCAAATCAGAGAGTTGTCTTCTTCTTCTTCTGAAAGTATGTGATAATTGATGGACTCTGGACAAAAGCAGAAGTGTTTTTGACATTTTAGGCAGTATGCTGTACCGTACTGTGACATTATAACAAATAATGAAAATAATCAAGCTACAACTATATATATATATAATTTGAATAGTGAGTATCGTTTGGTTTGTTTTTTTTTTTTTTTTAGAAGGAAGAGATACATAGTGATAAATTCTTCAACTGAAAACTACTGGGCTATATTTTTCTGAAGAATATATAGGAAAACAAGCCTATGCATAAGCCATCTGACTCATCTCACGTTTTGTGGTAAATTATTGCATCTATAATTACTATTACTCATCGGTTTTTTACCAATCTATATGCAATAATTTACCATAAAACGTGAGATGTGTCAGATGGCTTATGCATCTCTTCCTTCTAATAAAAAACAAACCAAACGATACTCACGTTTTGTGGTAAATTATTGCATATAGATTGGTAAAACTCGATGAATAATAGTAATTATAGATGCATTATGAAATTCGCAGAACAATGCATCTATGATGATCTCAATAGTCAACACGTCATTTTCAGTGCGCATATAAAATGGAATTGCTCAAATGCGGTGCATACAGTTAATGATTAGCAATAGATGCAGTTGCAGCTTATTTACATACAGGCTTGTAAAGTGCATGTGAAGTGATTGGAAATAATTTCTGGTAAGTTTTAGTTTTTAACATTGATACAATATTGAAAACAGTACAGTCTGTATTGTGTATCTAATAAATTCCAACAATGCTAGTATTTTAATTTTGTTTTGATTTATTCATGTGACATGTTTCAGTTTTGAGCTTTCGTATTTATATATAGTAAAATACTTTTTGATGTATTGAAAGAGCAAATAGTTAGATGAATGCTAATATATTGATTTTATGTTAACTTCTTGGTAACTTCTATTATTCACAATTTTTTATTTATTTTAGATAAACATGGACTTAAGCAAGATAAATGAAATTGCAGCTACGAGCTACACGAGTAAGCCGAAAAAGAGCCTGTACGAGCTACCGCTTAACCAATACCAGACTGTACTTTCAATAAGAATCGTACAAGGACGTTTTGGACAGGTGCCGTTGGTGGAGCTACAAAATTTTGTAGTGTTTCTACCAGGGAGAGCGACGGAAGTGATCATCGAAAACTTAGAAAGTTTCACTCCGGGACGTTACGCAATTGCGTATACAGGCAGCGTGCCCAGCTCTTTCGGGGATAATCAAGTTCACCATTTTAAGCTTAAGGATCTACACGAATAAGTAAGAACACTTGTATTATAGGCTAATATTGTTATTCTCAAGGTAAAGTAATATTGATTTGTTTTACATGAAATTCAATGGACCTTTCAGAACCATTCAGTGAATCAGTCAAAAATACTGTTAAGATTTTTAAAAAAGCTTATGAAACTCTTACTGAAAAAAAAAATGCTTCTGAATCAGATAAAAAACGCTGGATAAAACTGATTAATGAAAATTTAATAATTTTTCACAAAGCTCTTAAAAATAAATATATTAGTGTTAATACACGAAAAGCTGTTCATACTGGTGTGGTACACTTGAAAAGATATAAATTTTTATTAGAGTCCTTTCATGTAGGTCGTGGTACATTTAGTACGCCAAAAAGGGTTGTATGGGAAGATACTGAGTCAACCTTTGTTAGTCGAATTCATACTGGTGTTATTATAAATTTAAAACATGTTGATATACATGATTTTTTCCTTGATGCGTTCAATCTATTCGAGCATCAAATACAAAATAAATTGTCCGTAATGTCCATGTTGAAAGTAAATGGGACCTTTTGTGGTGAATTTATTAAGTCTTCGAATGGTACAGATATCAATGATTTTAAATATTTCAATACCAGAAATGCTATCATTGATCAAAGTACAAATTTACAACAATGGTACAAAGATAACATTGTTGATAAAATTTTGAACAAGCTATCAGAATTTCAAGAAAGATTGAGTGGCTGGTCGTTATTAAAGATTATCTCTTTAGAAATTAACATAAATAAAGTGGAATTTGGTAACGTAAGTTCATCATACGTGAAATTACCTACTCAAATTGCTCGGAAAAAGGCGTGTATCAATATAAAAAATCATAATGATAATGCATGCTTTGCCTGGTCTATAATAAGTGCCCTTTATCCTGCTAAACGTCATACTGATAGAACCTCGTCCTATCCTCGTTATACGGAAGTTCTTAACTTAGAAGGGTTGGAAATGCCCGTTCGCTTAATAGATATAAGTAAGTTCGAGGAAATGAATAAAATTTCTGTTAATGTTTTTGGAGCTGAGTTGATTGTACAGGAGAGTAAATCTTTTTATAACATTGTACCATTAAGACTCACTCAAAAAAAACTGTTAGAACATGTCAACCTGTTAATGATACAGAACAAATATTATCCCAAATTAAATGATTTCGAACCGTTACCATTGGAAAATGATGATTTTAGCACAGATGATGATGATTTTGAAATTACTTATCATTACGTGTATATTAAAAATCTTGCTCGTTTAGTAAGCTATCAATTAAGTAAGGCTCACAGTAAGAAATGGATTTGTGATAGATGTCTTCAATACTTCCATACAGAGAAGCAGCTACATGAACATGAAATCCACTGTCAAAAATTGAACGATTACAAAATATCATTTCCTAAAGACACTATCCTAAAATTTAAGAACTTCCGATATGCGGAGAAAGTACCTTTTATAATTTACGCTGACTTTGAATCAATGTTACTACCATTCAGTGAAACTAACAAAAAATCAACATTGTCGCATATGATCAAATATCAAAAACATGAAGCATTCAGCGCCGGTTATTATTTCAAGTGCAGTTACGATGATTCATTATCATTTTATAAATCCTATCGCGGTATAGATTGTATACAGTGGTTTTCAAAAGAAATGGAGGAAATGTCAAAGTTTGTTCAGTCAAAACTTCAATTTGTTGTTCCAATGAATACATACGTTGATTTTAAAAATGTTAGTTCGCATTGTCATATATGTAAGAAACCATTCAAAGCTGACTCTAAAATTGTAAGGGACCACTGTCATCTGAGTGGTGATTTTCGGGGATTTGCTCATTCTAAATGTAATTTAAATTATAAAAACTCATTCATAGTTCCAGTTGTGCTTCATAATTTGAGCGGTTATGATTCTCATTTTATAATTAAGGACATTGTAAAATCTAATCGAGTTGTTTTGCTTCCATTAAATAAGCAAAAATATATTTCATTCACTATCCGAAACAATGTATCCGATATTGCGTTCCGTTTCATAGATTCCTTTAGATTTTTGGCTGCATCTTTGGATAAACTTGTTAATTTGTTAGATATCGGAGCTTTACACATATTAAAAAAAGAGTTTGGACACTTGAACGATGAAAAGTTTGAGTTGCTAACAAAAAAAGGTGTATTTCCATACGATTATGTTGACTCATGGCAAAAGTTGAATGAAACAGAACTACCTATACATGAACTATTTTACAATAGACTAAATGACACAAACGTTAGCAATAACGAGTACCAACGTGCTAAAGATGTGTGGACCAATTTCGAAATTCAGAACATCGGACAATATAGTGATCTTTATTTGAAAACAGACATTATTTTATTAGCAGACGTTTTTGAAAATTTTAGACAAACTGCTCATAGGACGCACGGTTTAGATCCTGCATGGTATTATACCCTACCAGGTTATACATTTGATTGTATGCTACGCTATACCGGATGTAAGATTGAAATTTTAAAAGATGTTGATATGCTATTATTTGTAGAACGTGGCATACGCGGAGGAATCTCTCAATGTTGTAATAGGTATTCAAAGGCTAATAACAAATATCTACCGGATTATGATAGCTCTGCACCATCAACGTTTATCATTTATTTGGATGTTAATGCATTATACGCATTTGCTATGACTCAGTATCTTCCTTATGCAGGGTTTGCTTGGGTGGAAAATGTTGATACGTTGAATGTACATGATATTGCAGATGATGCAGATATTGGTTACATACTCGAAGTAGACCTTGAGTATCCAAAGTATTTGCACGATGAACATAAAGATTTTCCGCTATGTCCAGAGCATCGAGTACCACCAGGTTCAAAATTATCAAAATTAATGACAACTCTCTACGATAAAACAAATTACATAATTCATTATAGAAATTTAAAACAAGCTTTAGCACATGGCTTAGTTTTGAAAAAAGTACACCGCATTTTGCAATTTAAGCAAGCTGCTTGGATGAAACCTTACGTAGAGATGAATACAAAATTACGTATGCTAGCTACAAATGATTTTGACAAAACCTTGTATAAAGACCTTGTCAACTCCTGTTTTGGAAAATGTATGGAAAATGTTCGAAAGCATCGTCTAGTCCGTATCACTAACAAATGGGAAGGTCGGTATGGTGCAAGGAAACTAATAGCCAGCCCCAATTTTCATAGCAGAGTAGTCTTTGATGATAATCTCGTAGCGATTGAAATGAAAAAAACCGAACTTCTCTTCAACAAGCCCCTATATATTGGAATGACGATTTTGGACATTTCCAAAGTATGCTTATATGACTTTCACTATAATTACATGTTGAAAAAATTCTCATTAAATACGTGTAAGACCCTGTATATGGACACAGACTCGATGACGTATGAGGTAAAATGTGCAGATTTTTATATAGACGTAATCAAACAAGATTGTTTTCAATATTTTGATACCAGCGATTATCCAACAGATAATGTGTATAACATACCGTTGGTTAATAAAAAGGTTCCGGGAATTATGAAGGATGAATATAAAGGTATACCGTTAACCGAATTCGTTGGTCTCAGATCAAAAATGTACTCTATAAAACGATTAACAACGCCTAAGGAAATAGAAGATATGCGGTTGAGTCTGCTTGAAAGTGGTTGTACTGGAGATACTGCGGAAATGATCATGTCAAATATAGGTGTTACTAAGAAAATCAGCGGAGTCAAAAAATCTGTAGTTGATGCGAAAATAACATTTGATTGTTACTTGAACTGTTTGAAAAATTTAGAAGTGCAGTCATTTAATCAGAATTTAATCAGATCTGAGAATCATAATATTTTTTCAATTACGCAGTTGAAAAAAGCTCTCAGTCCATACGATGATAAACGTTATTTAATCAAAAACAGTCATGATACTTTACCTTGGGGACATTATAGCATAGCATCAAACGAAGAAATGTAACATGTACAATTTTATTTTAGGTATGATAAGTCTTAGAGAATTATCACTTAAAAAAGTTGCAGAATGTGTAAAATCAATCGTTACTTTTACTAATGTGTCACCATTACCATGGACACTAACTGTGGAAGTTATCAAGTGTTATGCGAATTTTAAATGGACAAAAATATTGCTTGAAGCACACGATAATCCTTTAACAGATATTTTAATTATACAAGCAGTGGAGCATACAAGGGAAATACCTAGTGAAACCCATAGGAAGGCACTTTTATGTCAAGCAAATTTTGAAGACATATATATTTTTCCAAAGTATTGTGTTTGGGTTAACATTTGTTACATTCCAGAATATAATTTAAGATTATGTTCGGGTTGCTGTAACGCATTTATGGTAGTATTAGGCCACTGGAATAAAAAAAGACCTACTGTTCTTCGAGACCATTATCATATAACATTACAGGTTCAAGAAATTCATCGCTTATACAGATCTACAAATATGTACTGTCAAAATGACTTTTTGGAACTATTGTTTGGTTTGAAAGACGAATATACTTGTGTAAATGACCTACATAACATCGATCATTATAATAATCATCACCCATATGTTACGAGATTTGTAGATTCTGGTAACGATGATTCCGACATTGACTTTTAAGAATGTATGTAAATGTGCTTGCATATACTGCTAAACATTGACTGTATCATAAAATATATGTAACGAAAATAAAAATACGTTTTGCAATATGTCTGTATGTTTCCTTACCCCTTCCTATAATAAAAACAAATAAAATTTTCTTACAAAACCGTTTATTTAATCAAAGCTGCTTCATACACAGATAATTTACTAGCTAAATCACTTAAGAGCTTATTTTTATAGTACAGTAAGCATTCTCGTACACAATAACTTTCTATGTTATCATTACATACGTCACAAAAGGATCTTATTACAAGTTCATAATTTCTTTCCTGAGTTTGTAGTACTACGTTACAAACAATCTCTAAAAAGTTTTGATAAAATTGTTGGAAGTTCATTTTATATAAAGCACCTACTTTATATTTGATAATATTTTCATCAATATGGAGTATATCATTTATCACATTATGTGATAGATAAAAGCAGGCCCTACTTGTGTAAACTTTTAAAATTTTACAATCTAAAGTTGACGTTTTGCATATTTTCACATCTTCATCACATTCAATATGTTAATGTCCTCTTCTTTGGATGTTGTAATGCATGGTACTTCATTGTCCGATAAATAACTGATGTCCAAACATCGTAAGGCGAAAATAAAAAGTTCCCATTCGTCAGCACTGAATGTGATTTGAGTTCCTATTTCTGATTTTTTCATCAATTTTACTGATGGTTCGAAACACCTTGCAATACTCAAGCCACAATGGATACTTAACGGACTACAATCAGCAGTTACATAATCTGTACCCAATAAGTAAGGTGTTTTTTCTTGAAGAATTTGGTGTTTGCACTCCTTGTTTATTTTTTCTATTTCAGTCCAATAGTACGAATCAATATCCTTGCAGTAATTCTCAATTTCTGATTGATAGTTTTCACTATCTGATTCTTCATCTTCTATGTCTTTACGGCAGAACATCTTTCTGAATATTGACGGGAAGAGCAAATGATAACACTACTATATATCAATCTATCTCCCCACCACAATTTTTAAATATTATAAACGATTAGATGAGTTTATCCAACTGTTATGAGAACTATCAAAGCCAAGCCATTTCACGTAAACTTTATTATTTTTCTTTCTTAATACCTTCTCAACGAATAAACATCTGGAATGGATGTTTTTTGTAATTCCTCATTGTAAAATCCCCCCGAAATCGGATTTCCACGTAAATCTTCCAGCAAATACGTTGTAGGATTAGTTATTTGAACTTTTGATATTTTAAATACCTCAGT